GTAGCTGTGGGATCAGGCTCTAAAAGAAAAGTGGAGAGATTCAGCCAGTTAGCATGAAAGTTGGAGATACAGTGTTTCTCTTAGAATAGGGATGCACTGCAGTCCTTCTAAAAGGTGAGGTTTATTTCTTATTTGAGATGGTGACATTCCTGGAAAGATATTTAATTCAGGTAAACTGAATTAAATCAGTGTCAAAATAGTATCATGTGAAGCTGCCCATTCCACTAAAGTTCTGAGATCTTTCATCATGTAAATAATTTTCATATCTCTTTTTATAATTAAATCATCCAAACATAAAATACAGAAGAAAGGTAATAGTCATCAGCTTATGCAGAAAGTCAAGTACTCTTAAAAAGCTTCCACCAAGCACATGTCTTTATTGCTCTGTGACTTTTCTCTGGGTCACTAAAGACCCTGAAGCAAAGATGAAGGTCCTGCAAGCAACCTGCCTCACCAAGATGCCCTAAGCAACAGCTGTCTGTAGCCAAGAACAGTGTTAAAAATGTTATGAAAATAAATCATTGGTCATGTAAGATACAGTATATGAGACACATGCCTGCCTTTACAAGTAGCATTAGATTAAATTGCAGAATATAAAATGTACATCGGGGATACAAAATGAATAAGGCACAGCCTCTCACAGCCTAGTGAGGGAGAGATTAAAAAAAAACATTGCAATCAACTTGTACTCCTCTTAACCGCAGATCAAGTGTAGGACTTGTATTAGTCAGGGTTCTCTAGAAGAACAGGATCAACAGAAAGTATAATTATAGAAAGGGAACTTATTAGATTGGCTAACTCTACCAGGAGCTGGATAGTCCACAATGGCCATCTGCAGGCTGGAGAGATGAAAGAACCAGTAGCTGCACGGTCCAAGATGCTGAAGCCCCAGAACAAGAGGGATCACCAGTGCTAACCTAGTCTAAGACTCTCCATAGTCTGGAGAATCCCTGGCAGAATTCTATATGAGGAGTGAAGAAACCAGAGTCTGGTAACCTAAGAGGATCCAACAACCCCTTGGGACTGCTTCCTTATTCTTCCAATTTTTATTCCATACAAGCCACCATCCTATTGGACAGTGCTTCCGATGCTTAGAGAGGGTCTCCATTTCAGTTGGCTGACCCACATGCCAATCATTCCTAAACACACCCTCACTGTCACACCCATAAATTTCTTAATCCTTGCAATATCTTAATCCAATGAAGTTGATGATTCAAATTAACCATTACAGGACTCAATGGGATACTATGCTACTAATAAAGTTTACCCATTAAAGACTTTATAAAATTAAATAAATAATATTAAGAGAAAGAAATAGGGCTGGGGTTGTGGCTCAGTGACAGAGCACCTGCCTGGCATGTGTGAGGCACTGGGTTTGCTTCTCAGCACTGCATATAAATAAATGAATAAAATAAAGGTTCCTCAACATCTAAAAAAATTTTTTTAAAGGAGAAAGAAACAAGGATGGGAACACTCATATGTAGGGAGTAGAAAAGGATAGAATGCACCAAAAGAAGGATAGTGTAGGAGAGATGTCTCCATGTAAACAAGAAAAGAGCTTCACAAAGGCGGTGGTGTCTACCATGTCAAAGGCTCAGAAAAGTTAGCACATTCAAATATTGGCCAAGTTCTACTAGTGCCAGGCACTACTCTGGGTAACAAGTCTAGTGGGATGAGGTCATGGGGGTCTCTGGGAGGACAATTTCCATGGCAGGGCAGAAATCTGCTTGGACTGAGAGCAAGTGAAGCAGCTGATGGACAATACTACATTAGATTTGCCACAGAAGGGGAGTGAAGAGCAGGAGAAAAAATAGGAATGGTACTGGAAGAATCAGCCATATTATAAGAGCTAAAGAAGTTGGAGGTGGGTGAAAAAAGAGAGCCAGGAAAGTCAGGAAAGGCTTTATGGTAACATATTTCTTTCTCTGAACTGAGTGCTTTAATATTTTATTTTAAGCCATGTATGCAAATTGGCAATGCTTCTTAAAAATTGTGAAAACAATCCATTTCTGATTCCTCTTAACTCTTCATTTAAAACTGGTCTTAAAATAGTTTAATAGATAATGTAAAGAAGAAAGGATTCTATTTAATCAAATTAAGAATATAGGAGATCAAACAGCAATTTAATACTCAGAAGTTATACTACTTTACAAAATGTGAACTTCTTTGGATAGCTTCAGAATTTCCATTTCTACTCCCTCCAAATACTGTGTAAATAAAAAATCTGGAAGGGAGGAATATTATTAAGAATTCACAAACAAAATTTCTGTTCTTTTACAATAATTATAATTCAATTCTTATTTCCCAAGGAATTATTCACTAATCTCCAGTTTTCATAACTTCATTCAAGGAATATCCAAGATTTTTTTTTAAATAGCAAGCCTATTCTCATTTAGTCATACAAATAAATGCAACTTTTCTATTAAAGTGATATGTACCAGTGTTATGTATCATATTTGTGGCAATTTGGTGAATATACTAAGTAAAATATAATATTTACCATGTATAAAATTCTAAAAAGATTTAGAACATAGCTTCAGATTGTGATCATATTTGCTTTCTATTTCAGCTTTAGAACTACCAGAAAATCTTCAAATTATCAAGTAAAAAGCAATTAGCTATCTATATTGAGCCATTTAAATACCTAGGACATCATGACAGAAATAGAAAAATGATTACCATAATTTTAATTTACTTTTACAGTTCTCCAGAGGTGTTTGCCTGACTTCTCAACCAAAAATGGCTCTTTAACTGTAGGAAATAAGATGCTGTTTGAAGATGGAAGTGGAAAAACAAGAAATGTACTAGAACTCAGGGAGGCTTCAAAGTATGTTTATTACATTTTCATTTTCAATGTTGATGCATCCTGTTGTTGTATCCAATATTAAAGCTCCTGTAAGGTTAGGGGTTTTAGGAAAAGAATTATGTGTTATTATGAAATATACATATACATGTCACTTTAGATTGGAGAACTTGATATGTGTTCATTAAGAAAACCATGTAGCTAAAAGGAGAAAACAGAATGAATTAGAACAATGATGTTTTTCAAAATGGTCAAATCTTTCATTGTGAATAGGGGTAGAAATGTGACATAAGGAAATGTACTGGCACTATATCAAGTTTCTACGCGCTAACTATAATGCAGTAAATTAACTGTTTCTTTTGACTACACACATAATTACATTTCCCTGGATGCACATATTCACACACTTCAATGTGTGTAAAACATAACATGTACAGAGTGTCATTGCGTAACTCAGTTGTAAAATTAATACTGAAAACTTGAGGTATTCTAAAATTGTTATTTCTCTTTCTTGAAAGACATTAGCAAGTAGTATAAAGGCATGATAATACAGCTCTTGCATTTTTAGAATAGCAACATAGGTGAATTTCAGAAAGAGTTATGTGAAATAACTCATAAAATAATAATAGAAGTATGATTTCATTGATATTAAATGAAAAAAGAAGCAAAACTAAATTTAATTTCCCCCATTAATTGATAATAAAAGCGTTAAATGAAAAAACAACTGGAAAATTATTATCGCAAGAGTCAGAGTAGTGGTGACTTTGGGGAAAGAGGGAGGTATTACAATTGGGTCATATGGAAAGGGCCGACAGTGTTGTATTATAGGAGTGTATTCACCTTGATTATTAACCAGATTGGACTCTAAGGATTTGTGCACTTTTCGGGGTGTGCCCCATCATGCCTTACTGCTCCAGTGCTGTCAGATGATACGAAGGAGAACTAAAGATGATATTCATTCTTGACTTTATGAATTTTATAAATTACAAACTGATCTTATTTAAATTTATTTCTTACAGTGAGGTTTCTGTAGTATTGAGGGCATATATACTCAATATATATATTGGATACACTAGAGAAGAATCTGTGCATTGTTCTCAAAAGCCTTGTTCTCTGTGTGTGCAGCTGTGGCCTCTTTGGCAAGCTTATCCACCTTTGAAGTTTTCCCAACTTTGCAGGTTTACTAAAAAGGTATTTCATGTGCCTAGAAAAAGAGTCACTGCTGATATGTGGTTTCTAAAAACATGTTTTGAACAGCAACTTGAAAAATCCCTTTTATCATAAAAACATTTCTGTTTAACATTGATCAAAAAATTATTAATTTTTCCTTCTTTGAATTCAGTGCTGTCAATAAAATCCTTGATGCAAGGTCAATTGGATCAAAAGTGTTTGAGGACTACGCAGTGACGTGGTATTGGATCCTCCTGTAAGTGTAGACACATAGGTGCTTCTTTTCCAGCCTCTTTCTGATTTCTTTTATAGACTGATTCTTCAAATTCCTTATTCTACAAGGTTGACTCAAATCTTTTAGTACCATTTTTTTCCAGTAGGGTGAAATGGGGCAAAGAAATATCCCCACTGTTAGCGGGAAGTTATAAAAATATAAATTTTACATTCTACACTGCTCATTCAAGCACTCACCTGCAGCAGTACCTGTAGGACTTCTGCGTCTATGATACTTGTGTGCTGCTCATCATGGTATAGTGTGTATGGTGTTATTTCTCTGGTTCTTTCTTCTCATTTGTCCCTACCTTGACCTCCAAAGTATTATTCTTATTTTTTCTAATATTTCCTTTCCACATAATAATTATCATCCTCATCATCAGAGGCATTGTAATTTATGAGAAGCTGAAAAAACATATGGAAGAGGGGATTTTTAATTTTCAAGTTTAAGATTTATATTCCAGAAACATTAAAGAAATGTAGCCACTGTCCTGAAGTAGGTAAATGTGATTGACATTCTAAGACTGTCATGACTGTCGGGCTCTTTGTCAGTTACCAGAGCTTAAAAGTTGCTTCTGTGCTTCCCTACTGATCAAGGAATGAAATTAAAACTTCTTTAGGTACTTCCAAGGGCCTTTATGATTTGGTTCACTTAGTTTCTCAGTGTCATCTCCATCCTTGTTCCTTAATTAACCACATATTTTTAATATGTAAAATAATGTGCCTATCTTCAGACCATTCAACACATTTTTCCCCTTTTGTTTCTTTCCTGCCATATTCTTGTCTGAGTCCTGAATAGCTCCTCGTCATTCTTTAAAATCAATTTTAGTGTCACTTGTGAAACCTTTCTTATCTTCCCTAGGTCAATTAATTGTTTTAATTGTTCCCCTCTATTTTCCTCACACCCATTTTGAATGCACATGCAGGCACACATGCATTCCTTGACATACAAGTATCCACTTTTCTTCTACAAAGCACCTACCACTAGGTATTTTATCTACCTGGCTTTTTTCCTCTGATGAACTGTCTACTCTTTATAATGGTAATCATACCCAACTTATGTTTAGTTTTCTATCTCCTGACAACAGTTCTTGGAATGCAGTAGATTCACAAAATATGTGGGTTTGCCAAACAGTTATAAAAATACTTGGGGAGGGGCAAGATAGGTACAATATATTTAAGTGCATGGGGCTTGATAAAGTTAAAATTGTATTAAATATTACTGAGTAATTTTAGAGCTATAAAACAACAGTATTTTGTGAGATTTGCTCATTTCAATGCTTTGTCTTCAACAATTCCGATAATAATTTTCAGTGTGTTACGATACATCTCCATAGCAGACTTTGTAGTTTATGCTATCAATACTTGAACTGGTTTCCCTATTGTCAAGCTCTACTGTCACTTTCTGTGTTTTTTATTCATTTGGCTTTTCTACTCTCATCTAAACAAGTGTACATTACCATAGACTCTCAGTCCACCTCACCTAGACACACACTGAAACTCTGTGTACCTGGGTACCGCTCTTTACCACTATGAAATCAGCACCTGCCTTTACTTTCAGTTTTTCTGCTGCTCTCATCTGTTTAATTAATAAACAGCCATAGTAGTAATAGGCTGAGACTTAGTTTATTTTGTTAGAATGTTTATGAAAGAATTTAAAACACATAAAAAGTAGCTTTCTCCCCACCTCCTGGTCTTTTTTTGATTGTTCCCCTTGGACTATGCTATAGAATAATCCTTCAATTGTATTGAATATTTAAGTACCTATGATTCTAAGAGGGAATGTCTTTTGAAATTAAACACAGACTGCAATGTGTTTATCTGAAAAGGCAATCTTGATGCTGTGCTGTGCTCTATTCAGCAACAGTAATTATTAAGATTTTTTTAATTTAACATTTGAGACCATGAATTGGACCAATGTACCAGGGTTTTTCTGTTGCTATGATTGAAAACTTGCAGATAGCACCAGAGATGTCAGTTCTAAATGAAAGAGCCAGCCAGCTTACAATCTTAATGAATTCCCTTTGAGGAATTACCCTAGGGACTCCTTTAGAATCTGAACCCAGATTCTAATAGAAGCTTCTCCAATAGCTCAGTTAAACTCAAGGAAGAAATTAAAATAGAAAATAGTCCTTCATGATAAGGCTTCATGGCCTAGGAGATGCTGAAGACTTACCAGTGGCCCACAGTTCACAGGGGACTTGGGATAGCTGTCTGGTGATGTCAGGCACAACAAATTACTCAAGATAATTATGTTATAGTGATAACAACCACAAAATTATGAGTTCAGGAACTAGGTAGTCAGTTATCTTTCTTGTCTTTCTAGTTCAAGTCTATTCTAGACATCCATGTTGTAGAAGTTTTCCATTAATCACCAGGTAGAGAGAGTAGCACAATCCACCATGCAAATATTTTGTAATTTACTACCTAGGAAAGTAGCTGTGAAGCAAAAAAAAAAAAAAAATAGGACATAACAACTGTGGCAGACAGGTCAAATTGTAGGTTGGAGGAATTGTATTTTTCCTAGACTGATGATTGATACAGTGCTTTGGTTTATCTTGACATGCAAAGATGCTCATATATAAAGTCCCTAATTTTCCTATATGAGCATCTTTGTGCCTAGGTAAACCAAGGTTGCTTATACTTTTTATCATTATAACTGTTTCTCTTTAGTCAGGTAAAATAAAATATTCTAAGCATTATTTTGAATAGAAATGGGTCTTGTCTTGATATTTTTATTATGTTATTTGCAGCACGTTGACTGCCATGTTTGTTGTGGGTTTTTCCCTCTAGAGGCCTATGTACTGCTATGATCCTTAGTTGGACATTTCTGATACTCCTCAAATTCATAGCTGGATTCCTCTTCTGGATATTTGCATTTGGTGTACTTGGAATTGTAGGATATGGTATGTATCAAACCTCTTAAAATCACCAAACATCAGAATAATGTTTTCTTTTTTCATTTGCCATTGTCAATCACCAGAAAGCATTTACTTGCTTTTGATTTGATTATTTTCTCCCCACAAATAGTGACATTTAAAATAATTATTAACCTTTAATATATTGTCTTTGTAACTTCTATTTAAAAGTCTTGGTTTTTTTTGTTGTTGTTGTTGATACTTGGAGCTCTAAATAACCCCTGCTCTTTTTTGGAGGAGAATCTAGGCATGTGATTCAAGCATTCTGTTATTGTCACCAAGAATGAAAGGGCAATAAAGCCTGCTATTGACTTCACCGACTTGTCTTAAGCAGCAAAATAAATCTGAGATTGGCTATGCTACAACTTTGACAATGGAAAAAGAGAGAAAGGCAGTCAATATATACAAAGTGCCAATGAAGCAATCAATTTCAATTCTCTACTGATTCCTTAGATAGTGCTTACACAGCAAATAATCATGTAGCAATTAAGCTTAAAGCTACTTATGGTGAGGAAATGTCCAATTAGATTGGAAATTATAAGTAAATAAGACTGAATGCAGGTGACCTCTGCTACTGGATTTCTACATATAATGGGCAACCATTTCCTACTGAACAACCAGTTTACAAGGACATAAAACAATGTGGATGTGTCATACAAGCAAGGGGGAAAAAAAAGCAGACAACTTGTGTTCGAGGGCCCATGTGCAGCAAGGGAACAATTCTCACTGAGAACAAGTTAAGGGAAACACAGGAGAGTCTCCATAACTCTGGGATCATGAACATGAATTTAGAGTTTGGGAAAAAAAAAAAGAAGAATAAGAAAGAAATCCCAGATGCATGTCATATTAACAGTGTGATCCTCTGCTAGTACATAGTCTCTCTAATTCATAGTTTCTTCAACAATATAAGAAGTAACTGTGAACATAAAATACAATAATATATATACAGTACTTAGAAATCTGGTAGCATATAGCATATTTGTTCGGTAAAGACTATCTGTTCTTGTTGTCACTGTTGTTATTGTAAGGCAGAAATGTTATTGAGGGAAGAGTACTTGAAGTCCAGAGATCCTAACTTTTTAAAAAATCTATTTTTGGGTTCAGTATAGACTACAGTGAAACAAAAGTAGATCAGTGAGACCAGTAAGGTGGCATTTGCAGCAATCCATGTACTATGTGGGAAGCTCAGACCAAGATGCTAGCAATGGAGGTAGTCTTAATGGTTAACCAAGCTTTTTCCTGATGGATTGAAATACAGTTGTGATTTTTAAAAAGTGAGTGGAAGAAGAAAAATGAATCCACAAAAAGATATGAGATACAAGAAAGGATAGTGAGCAAAGAAAATAAATTGATAAACATATAGGTAAAGCAGCAAAGACCTTGCCTATTTAAGATAATAGTAATATCCAATTTAAAATGTACAGAACTAAAATATTGAGCAATAACCAGGAAGTGTTTATTGAGTAAAAACCCAAAATAATTAAGATCAGAGCCAAAATCAGTGAAATTGAGAATAAGCAAACAATACACAGGATCAATGCAACAAAGATCTTTGTATTTGAAGAGGTAAATAAGATTGACAAATCTTTAGCCAAACTAACAAAGAGAAAAAGAAGACTCATATCAACAAGATGAAAAAGGAAATATCACACAGACCCTTCTGAAATCCAGAGGATTATCAGAATCTATTTTGAAAATTCATAGTCCAATAAACTAGAAAATCTGGAAGACGTTGACAAAATTCTAGAAACATATGACCTGCCCAAATTGAATTTAGAAGATATAGGAAACCTAAACAGAGAAATATCAAGTTACAAATAGAAAGATTGAAATTGAAAGTCTTTCAAAAAAAAAAAAAAAGCCCAGGACCTATTGGATTCTCAGCTGAGTTCTACCAGACCTTTACAGAAGAACAAAAAGAACTAATACCAGTCTTTCTTAAATCATTCCATGAAATTGAAAAGGGGGGAAATATACCCAAATACATTTTATAAAACCAGTATAAACCTGATACCAAAACCAGACAAAGACACCTCAAGGAAAGAAAACTGTAGACCAATATCCCTAATGAAAATGGATAAAAAAATTCTCAATAAGATGTTAGTAAACTATTAAAAAACATCAAGAAGATAATACTGCATGATCAAATGGGTTTCATTCCAGGGATGCAAGTTTCATTCACCGTATCCAAATCAATAGATGTAATTCACTACTTAAATAAAATGTAGGATAAAAATTATATGATCATTTCAATAGATGTAGAAAAGATCTTTGGTAAAATTCAACACCCATTCATGTTACAAAAAAATGGAGAAGCCAGGGATTGAAGAAACTTACCTAAATATAGTAAAGGCTATTCATGACAAACCCAAAGCCAAAATCATACTAAATAGAGAAAAACGAAAAGCATTTCCTTTAAAATCAGGAAAAAGACAAGACTGTGCACTCTCACTACTCCTATTCAATATAGTCCTTGAAACATTAATCAGAGTGATCAGGCAAGGAAAGGAAATCAAAGGGATATGACTAGGAAAAGGAAAAGTCAAATGAGAGGTCATTGCTGATGATATGATCCTATATTGAGAAAATCCAAACCTTCCACCAGAGGGTGGACAACAAATAAATGTGTGGACAACAAATAAAAGGTGTTCAACATCGTTAGCAATTAGAGAAATGCAAGTCAAAACTACACTGAGAGTTCATCTCACTCCAGTCAGAATGGCAGCCAACAAGAATACAAACAATAACAGATGCTGGAGAGGCTGGAGAGAAAAAGAAAAACTTTTATACTATTGGTAGGATTGTGAATTAGTACCACCACAGAAATCAGTATGGAGGTTCTTGGAAAGACTAGGAATGGAACTCCATGTAACTTAGCTCTATCTAAGGATAAATACTCCTCAGTATTTATCCTAAAGAATTAAAGTCAGTATACTATAGCATGCATACTCATGTTTATAGCAGCATAGTTCACAGTGGCCAAATTATGGAACCAGCCTAGATGTCCATCAGCGGATGATTAGATAAAGAAAATGTGGTATATAGACACAATAGAGTTTCAGCCTTTGCAGGAAGATGGATAGAACTTGAGAACATTATGTTAAGCAAAATAAGCCAAGTTCAGAAAGACAAGGGTCATATGTTTTCTCTTATGTGTGGAAGTTGGGAAAACGGAAAAGAAAGGTAGGCAGGAGAATCTCATGAAAATTGAAAGGAAATCAGTAGAGGAAATCAATCAGGCAATGGAAGGAAGAGAAAGAAAGTGGAAATACCTGGGAATCATATTGGCCAAATTGTTATACTGTGTGCATGTATGAATATGTAATGATAAATGCCACCATTGTGTTTAATTATCATGCACCAATAAAAATATGAGGAAAAGACAGATATACAAGATGGAACTCTATGTTATTTACAAAGTTACACAAAAGAAAGTACAATATTTGAAAGTGTAAAGATGGGTAAAAAAAATACTAGCAATCATTAAACAGAAGAAAGCTTTAGAAACTATAATAGTATCAGATGATACTTTTAAATAAAATACCTTATTAAGGAGAAAAAGAATTAAATTAACTAAAATAATATCAATTCTAAACTTTTATTCTTAAGATAGCCTCAAGGCTGGGATATGACTCAGTGGTTAAGCACCCCTGGGTTCAATCTCCAGTATAAAAAAAAAAGTCTTGAAATTCCTAATTTATAAGGATAAATAAGTTAATAAATTGGTACTGAGTGTTGAATTGGGTTGAATCTCTCTCCCAGAGAGATTTTAGCACATTTCCTTACTGAACAAATATGCCATAACCAGTTCCTATTGATAGACATTAAGGTTGTTAGTAACCAAAAATACATTTAAAGTCAGAGTTATCCACATAAATACTGAAAACCTGTGAAATACAGAAGCAATTTAGACTTTTAGATCCAAATAAAATATTTACCACGTAAATATGAATCTTACCTTTGTAGAAATGAGCATACTGACTAGTTTCACATAGTTATGTGTGATAAGCATATGGCTTCTAATTCAGAAAATAACATTTTACATTAATGCATTTTTCTTTCTTTTCAAGGAATATGGTACTGTTACGAGGAATACAACAATCTTCAGCACCATCCAAATTCTACACTGACTATATATGACATCGGGATTGAGACAAACATAAGCATGTACTTTAAATTGAAACAGACATGGTTCTCATTTTGTGAGTGGATTTTAAAAACTAATTTTGTTATCATAATAATTAAAAGATATCTCTTCATGTAAGGAAAGCGTGGGTTGGTGTAAACTGTTAAATACATTTCCCACTGATGGAATTACAGGTAAATGTCTGCAAGCTATAGCAAATGGAAAAGTCATTGAGGAGAATTTATTGTATGATCTAAGAAAATATTACTTTACAAGGATCACAAGTCATTTGCCTTCAACTTAAAATGGTTGGGTTTTGGGTGTTTATGGACAGTAACCTGATATCTAAGAAAGATTTCATAAAGAAATAAAAGGTTGATCTTTCAAACTTGTTTAAGTAAAAAGAAAAAATAAGAAACTTTTTCTCATAACAAGACATTTGAACTATTATAGGAATTTGAGCAATAAGTAACTGAAAACAAATGTACATTTTAAAATGTTTGTTCAGATTATTGAATTAGTTAAGGGTAATATTAATTTTTAAAGCAAAATTTCCAAGATGACTTTAGTCTTATAGAATGGTTTTATTATAATATTCCTTTCACTTCAGAGATTCATGTTCTTTAATCAAGATTTTAATTATCTCTAATTACATGTTGCTCCAAAAAAATTTCCTTTTTATATTGCTCATTTTGCTCTTTACCATGTTCAGGGAGGTCTGATAAGGAGTCCAGAAAGAACCTCAGAAGGGGAAACATACAGTGACACACCATGATTCCAGGCATAGGTCCCTTTCCCCCATATTTGAAAATTTGATTTTGTCTCTTTATTTAAGAATATTTAGCCTTTTTTATTTATATGTGACAGCAGAATGCATTACAATTGTTATTACACATATAGAACACAATTTTTCATATCTCTGGTTGTATACACAGTATATTCACACAGGTTCAAATCACATAACCAGAATTTTATTTGTTTATACCATTAGGCTACTCTCCCTGCAACCAGAAAACAGACACATCTCATCTAGAACAACACTCTCCTGGTGTCAAAGCAAAGGGCAGCAAGATTATCAAAGAAAAGCTTTTGAAGCAAAGGGGTTCAGACGGTCTTGGGAGACGGTTTCTTTATGAGGATGCCAACCTTGATGACCTAGCTCTGTAGCACACAAGTCCCCACCAGGTTCTTTTTGTCTTCCAAATTCAATTTTTCTTAGACAGGATTTTATCAAAATGTCAAATTCTTACTTGTCGACTTCCCATTTCTAACTCTCATGAAGACTATTTCCCTTCACTTACATGTTTTTCAAATATGTTGCAGAAGAAGAGCTTCATTTACAGATTTTATTTTTAACTACGAAAACCATGCAACTTATGAACTGCATCCTCATTCCTTATCTGGAATTTGAGTGATTCCATATCTTCTCATTGATCCCTCCCCCTTACTATTATCTGTCCTTTCTAAAGGGAACATATTTCACTCGTTATGTATCGAAACCTTTAGTTCTTCTCTTAGATGGGTCTCAGTCGCAAATTTGGAAAAATTAAGAGCGGATATTTTTAGGAAAATACAGAGCTTTTCTTTTTCTTGAATTTGCAAGTGTAACAATATGAATCTCTTTTTAAATGAGTCTGTGGCTTCATAATTGATCAGATATTAATTGATTACTTTCTCTGTGTTTGGCAAAATTCTAGGTACCAGAGAAAAAAAACATACATGTGAAATTATTAAGAAAAACACTAAAAATAAGCATTTACAAATAAAAAATTATAATTTTATGAGTCCTTGATCATGTTGGAAGATAGTTCTATTCCTCTCTGCTATTAACTTCACGACCCTGGGTAGCTTTCTTATGCCCCAGGTTCTAATCTTCCCCTCTGTTAAGTTACAGAGTTATAATATCAGTTCTATAGGATATCAAATATGTTTATATTACTTACTCTTATTCAGACATAAGAGGGCAACATAGTACATAAATTCAAAAGACATTTAAATTTCTCTAAGGTACCCATTTTGATATTTTCACTTTCTTATTATAAATTTAATATACAATGTTCCTTAATGCAATTTCAATATGTCATTTTCTTAGGTTTATCAGAAGATAACAGTTTTAGCATAAAGTAGCTATATTCCACAATTTAAGAATGAAATTAGTGTTTTAAGAGAATAAAATGTGCATGAAAGTATAAATACATAGCTTCACTAAAAAAAGATGTTGAAGCAAGATGATACTTACATAAGCTCCTCCTGCAGCTCCAAGTTAACTCATTTTTACTTACTTGGAGATCTTACCTGATGTGTGATATGATATCAGAATGTGTTATCATAATAGAATGAATAATGAGCTGTCCATCACTGAATGTGCTCAAGCATGAATAGAACACCTAGCAAGGAGATTATAGTAGGGATTCCTTCCTGGGTAGGATTTTAAGTTTCTATAAAGTTTCTTTTATACTTTTCGGGTCTATTATTAGTAGTACTATATTTTCTTGATTTTATGATCCATACCTTTCTACTTTTAACATTTCTGAAATCAGAATGCATATTAAAATTATTACTTTCCCTAAAATTTTGTTGCTAAATATTCATCTCAGAATTGAGGACATGATAATTGAGATTATGTAGAATTAAGTTTTAACAAACCTAATTTAGCTAGCTAAAGAGAAAAAAACTGAAACAAGCTCTAGGGGTGGAGGAGGGGGCTATTTATTATAAAAATATAGAAGTAGCTCATCAAACTCAAAAAAGGAGCTGGATGTTCAAATTTAATCGCATCAAGAAAAGAAAAAGTCCCAAAGAACTCAAATTTCCCTCCCTTTATTTTTTTTCTTTACACACATACATGTTATTCTTTCTTTGATGATTCTCTTTCTTCACATAAAGATAGATTTGACACAGTTCACTGAATTTGTATTACCCTCAGTTCAAGAGGCTTATAAACTTCAGGACTAAACTAAGTTCCCTTGGTTTTGATTCTAAGATGTTTATTGGCCAATTTTGATTGTATTTACACTCCAGTTCCATCAATAGTGGTGGCTCTGGTGGGTGGAGTCACAAAATAAAAATGTGGTAGCCAAGAGACTGCTCTGACAGCAAGGATAGTTGAGAGACATTGGAGCAAGGTGAACAGCCTAAAAAGTTCTTCTGTCATAGTTTCTTACCATGGAAGGAAACCCTTCCTTCTTAATTGCCTATTTCTCAATTTCTACAAGAGGTGTGAAATGTTTTCATGGATAAAGTGAAGCCTTTTCAACTGATATGTTTAAACTCTAGCTAAAGGTGTTAGTCTGAATTTCTTAGTATATCATGCAGGTGTTAAAACTGACTCAGAAGGTTGGTATTTTGGAAAGGCCGCACGTTTAAATTATAAAGTGTCAGAAATGACAGAAATAATCTTAAAGCACAGGTCTAACTTTTGCGGAGGAAGTTTGTTTTTGTATTGATTTTTTTTTCCCCTGTTCTAAGTGATAATACTCATCATCGTTGAAGTGATTGTCATCATCTTGCTGATCGCCTTCAGGAGACGAATCCGGGTCGCCATTGTTCTGCTGAAGGAAGGGAGCAAGTAAGGCTCTCACTGTAGAAACTCAGTCAGTGAAGTCAGCCACTGCTAGTTGCACTCCCCACACAGTTTTTTCACTAAGAAGACTCCTTAAAGAAAACTATTTTCCATCCAGGAGGACTCTTACTAGAAAATTCACCACTAACAATCCCTTTTTGTTTTTTATTTTTATTTTTTTGTGGTGCTGAAGATTGACTCAAGGGGCACTTACCCCTGAGTCACACCCCTAGCTCATTGTTATTTTTTTTTTTTCAAATTTTAAGTGAGGGTTTCTCTAAATTGCCAAGGCTGATCTCAAACTCAAGATCCTCCTGGTTCAGTTTTCCTAGTAGCTGGGATTATAGGTGTGCACCACCACACCGAGCTAACAAATCCTCAGTTATTACAGGGTAAATAGGATACAATCTGTCTTGTCCATGTATCAATATTTTTTGAGCACCAAGTGTATATTAGAAGAATAAAAGGTTAAAGTTCTATATAAGAGCTATATTACAGGTTATATTATATCCTTACTGTGTCATATATTAACATTAATAGTTGAGATGTTTTATAGAACTTAAATCACCATGATTCTATAATTCAATTATATGCTATTATCATTTATATATGATTGACAACATTTTCTAATGGAATAATTTTAGCAGCACCAGACTACTCATTCTGTAAGGCTCATGATTCAGGAACACAGAGCCATTTTTATTTTTAAATATTATAAAATAAACACTAAATCTTTCATAAAATTCATGCTGGGAGGTAATAATACCTATAGTTTATAAACTATTCCAGAAGGTCACTTGAGGATAACATTTACTCTAAATTTTTGAATAATGCATGGAAGAAACAAGGAGAACATTCCTATAAAGCCAATAGCACACTCTTTACTTAGGACGATGGAAACTAAGTTGTTAAGGACCAAGAACCAAAATTATTTTTAATCATCTTTAAGAACTATTGTAACCAAACTGCCACATTATTATAATAATAATAGTGCCACCTGAAACCAGTGGTTTAAATAGTCAACAAGCAGTTGGTTAAACTCTCTCTCTTTTTCCCACAATAACTGTTGCCCTATCATTATCCACTGAACACCACTGATTTGCTGGGTTTATTTCTTAAATAGTATGTTATTGTGCAGTTCATGGTAACATGCCCCACTTGTTATGACCCTAAGTGTGTGTGTGTGTATGTGTGTGTGTGTGTGTGTGTGAGTGTGTATGTTGTGTGTGTGTGTATTGAAGGGCTAATACTACTGTAACAAGTTGATAGCTTGCTCAAGGGAAAATAAAGACTGGAATGAATGCATATGCAAATTCAAAGTAAAATTAAGGATACACAGTAGTTCACTTGAAATCAGTGTATCAAGAAAAGAGAGAACAATATAGCTTAAATAGTGAAGGAAAGGTAACAAATGCCAAAGAACTGAGACAGGTCAAAGCATCTGCAGCAGTAAGATTCCCATCATATTTTTAAATGGTACATCAAACTGTATTCTGTCATATTCTAAAATGGTCATTTGTAAGTAGTAGTTAGAAACAGCACAGCTAGAATAGTGAACATTTTACAAACCATATCCTATGAGGAAATCAAAGAAATGATTATCCAGGAGAAAAAAAAAATGGATATGGAGTTACTTGAAGGGTTGCTATGGCAAAAAATGGTGGTAATTGACCATGAACATTTCTTCCTGGAAATAAGTTGCAAATAGTTAGAAAATGCAGAATTTCCTAATACTTTGTCAGGAAAATGGAATGAATGGTATCATGTAAAAGTAAATTTCCAACACTCAATGTTTGCAAATGAATTCATTTGAATATAACAGAAGGGGTTTTTTGTTGTTATTATTACTGTTTTTGTTTTTGTTTTTTTTTTTTTTTGTTTTTTTTTTGGTTCCAGGAATTGAACCCAGGGGCACTTACCTACTGACTCACACCCCCAGCCTGTTTTGTTTTGTTGTTGTTGTTGTTGTTGTTTTGAGACGGGGTCTTGCTAAATTGATGAGACTGGCTTTGAACCCATAGCCCTTCTGCCTCAGCCTCCTGAGCTGCTGGGATTACGGGTATTCATCTCTGCACCCAGCTAGGTATTTTTGAATTAGGGAAGAACTCAGAAGGAGATCTTCAAGGTTTAACAGAAAATCTTCAAGGTCTCCAACTTTAAAAGTTTAACAATCTGAACAAAGGAATAGGTCTCGTGATTATAATGTATCAGAACTTTATGGTCCAGACACAAATAACTACAGAGAAGAAAGTTTGGGAGACTTTAGGCAGCAATCAAGCATGCTCATTATACTTCATTATTCAAATTCTTACAGGGTTTTTCCTAACCATACATTATACACCAGATACAATAACAGTGTTCTTGGAAGAATATCCCAACTTACTTTAAAAAGAAAAGGTAATAAATACAAATAAAAACCAAATAAGAATCAAACAGAATGATCAGTAAAAAAGAATCAAGTTCTTAGAATTAATTCAGTCTAAGGCTTATTTCTATTTCTAACAGACAAAAATTTCACTGAGAAATTACAGTTCTGATTGAATTTCAAATATTTGTTTTATTTCAGAGCCATTGGATGCATTCCTAGTACATTAGTATATCCAGTTTTAACTTTCTTTCTGCTCTTAATCTGCATTTCCTACTGGGTTGTGACTGCAGTGTATCCTTTGATGAGTGACCTCTTTAATCCAAAGGTCCATATTTACTGTTCAGGAAGAGGAATTTATTTTCAGTGTTTTCTTTCTCTGGGAAAACAAGGAACATCCTAAAGAAATTTTTTCCAAGCTCTAAAATGTTTTGTCTATTGTTTTAATTTCTCCTTAAAAAAAAAAATCATGTGATAGACTTGTTTTCTTTTGGCCTCACATAACCAAAGAGAAGTCCTTTATATTTCACTGTTTTTAGGAGCCACTCAGAGTTGGGGGGGGGAAGGTCATATTAACTTAGGTGTGATAAGTAATGAATTATTAGAATATTAGAAGATATTGAAGTTCATCTCCCCATAAACTTTAGAGTTATCTGTGTTATTTTCTTGTCTATTTTCAATGTCCCAGCAAAATTTTTTTTCCTTAATAGAGTCCATTCAGTTTTTTGGCTACATCAGGAATACCTATGTACACAGTTACAGCCACAGATGAGCCATGTATCTATTCAAATAAAATCTGTGAACCAGAGGTAAGTAGAAGAAATTCTCTTCAGTACTTACTTCATTACAGAGTTCTACTGCATTTCATCTTGCAGTTGTATTCATCCTGAAATGGAGTTTTCAATGCACAAATGCAACAATAACTATTTGGAGGGTGGGTCAACTGTTAAGGAGGAGAGCATTGAAAACGGTAGGAATACTGGAGAGAAAGCACTATCACTTTTTTTCCTGAGTTTTCTTGTTCTATCATAAATTCAAGAGGCTGTTATGGCCAACAAAACACTAATAAATGTGAAATTATAGTAGCTGCAAAGTGATGAGCATATGATTGAAAATTAGGTACTTTCCAGGGCTCATTAAAGAATTATATAAAGTGATCTAATAGAAAATGGTGGAGTAACAGCAAAAACTAATATAGAAAAAAAAACAAGACATACTATTTGGGAGTTACAAAAGACAAAAAGGCAGGGAGATGTTATTTTAAAGTGGAATTTATTCTTGTGCTTTGTTTTCTTTTTTTTTTTTTTCCTGAGTACAGAGTTTTAATACAACAGAAATTCCCAAAGTTTGCCCGGGAGCTCATTGTAACTTTGCTTTCTATGGTGGTGGAAAGAGTCTGTACCATGAGTACATCAATACCTTCCATATATACAATCTATTTGTCTTTATCTGGCTTGTAAACTTTGTCATTGCATTGGGTCAGTGTTCCCTTGCTGGTGCCTTTGCTGCTTATTACTGGGCCATGAAAAAACCCGATGATATTCCACCATTTCCACTTTTTACTGCATTTGGATACGCTTTACGGTAAGCTCCAATGTTAAGCTCCTTTACCCCTATCCTCAGTTATATTTAGTATGCTCATATTTCAGTCTTGGCTAGTTGCTTCAAGTGGCAAAGTAAAAATGAGGTTAAGAGTGGGGTTTAATATTTATGGACAGCCATTGGCTTGTCTGTTTTCATAGTCATGGTTTTACAGTCTCTACCCAGGCCAATATTCTTCTAAATCCCATAAATTCCTAAAGATGGGAAGAAATAAAAGAGAACACCAAATGAAAGATTAAAGATTAACTTGGCTCTGTATCTTCACTGATCAGGTCAAACTGTCTATTTTTTTTGAGAATAGACTGTTGATAGATGAAGGACAAGAGAGATGTATATGGTTTAAAACCTTCTGTGGAGATGTCCCTCCATGTGAATAAAATCTCTTTCTTCTGCAGATCCCTTTTTCCTGTGAAAATTGTTTGAATAGTAACCAGATAGTTAAGAGTTTAAGCTTATTTTAAACTTTTATTCTTGTTTTATTTGTCTAGATATCACACAGGATCACTAGCATTTGGAGCTTTAATTCTTTCATTAATTCAAATATTTAAAATGGTCCTAGAATACATGGACAGCCAACTTAAAAGTAAGATTTCAGAATTTATTTCAGACTTCCTGACTGTTGTGAAAAGAATAGCTAGGGGGTAGGGAGAGGCTTGATGACTAACTTGGACTGGGGTAGTAAAGATGGAAATGGTCACATTTGGAAAACATTTTGAAGAACAACCCAATAGGACTTGCCACCAGAGGATCCAATGCCAGGAAAGGGAGGGGCACTGGTGAAGAAAAGAGGGGGGGGAAAGTGTGTGGTCCTATTTATAAAGACGTGAGAAGCAAATTAAAAAGAGTGCAAGATTAAGAAATCTATTTTAATCGTGTCACTGATGTGAAGCGTAGTGATGTCAGGTACGCAGTTCCAAGCCTAGGGATCAGGTCAGGTTAGATTGAAAATATGAATGTGAATATCACTGACAGAGCCTTTAATATGATACACAGAGTTCAAACACAGGAACTGTGTTTAGAATCTGCCTTAAACGATAACTGAAACAACCTTGAAAAGGAACAACTATTCAAAATTAGTTCAAAACTTAGTACAAAGCTCTTGTAATTCAAGCAGTGTAGAATTAGCATAAGGATAGATATGAAGGCCTGCAATAGACTAGAGATTTCAGAAATAAACCCTCACATATAAAACCATTTGCTGTGAAAATTAGACTCTCAACTACTAGTGCTGGAAAACCTGGATATCCACATGTGAAAGTATGAAGTTGGACCCTCACCATACACCAAATATGAAAAGTAATTCAAAATGGATCAAAGAGCTAAACATAACAGCTAATATTATAAAACTCTTGAAAGCAAACATAGGAAGAAATCTTCATGACATTGGATTTGGTGATGATTTCTTAGCTATCACACCAAAAGCATGGGCCAAGTAAATAAATAAATAAATACGACTTCAAAACTAAGGACAAGCAATAGTGGAGTACAAAGGGTGGGGGTCGGTGGGGGTTGAGGGAGGCAGGAAGGACCTGAGAAAGTACCAAAAATTTGGAAAAAAAAAAGTTTTGGAAAAAAATCTAGCAAATTATGCTATGTTTATATATAAGTATACCATAATAAATAAATCCCACTTATATATCAATACATATAATTTATAATGCTGTAAATAAAATAATAATAAAAACAATGGAAGGGAGATTAGTACAGAGTGTAGGTAGATCCAGGAGGGGAAGAAGGAGAGGGAAAAGGAAGGTACCGGAGAATGATTCATCAAATCCTATGAATGTGGAATAATGAATCTCACTATTATGTATAATTACCATGAATCAATAAAAAGAATTAAAAATATTTGGGCATCAAAAAATAGTATAGGAAAATGAAGCAACAACTCACCATGGAAGATATTTGCAAATAATATGCCAGATAAAGGATTAATCTCCAGAGTATATGAAGAGCAACTACAAATCAACAGCAAAAAAGAAAAAAATAGTTCCAAATGGGCAAAGAGCTTAAATGGACATTACTCCAAAAATGATACATAAATAGCTAATAGGGACATGAAAAGATGCTCAGTATCACTATTTGTAAAATGCAAAGTTAACACCACAATTAAATTATTTTCACACTCCTTAGAATGGCTATCAAAACAACAACAAGAACAGAAAATTAAAGTGTTGATGAGAATGTAGAGAAATTGAACCTTTGTATATCACTGGTGAGAATGGAGCAACTACTGTTGGAAACAGTATGGCACTTCCTTCAAAAGTTAAAAATGGAATTTACAATTCATCCAGAAGTTCCTCTTCTAGATAAATTTCCAAAAAATTGAAAACTAGGACTTCAAAAGATATTTGCACAACAATGTTCATAGCTGCATTATTAACAATAGTCAAAAGATGGAAACGATACAAATTTCCTTTAACAGATGTGGCAAAAGTTAAATTTGTTGAATACATTCAATGGAATAGTAGTCAGCCTTAAAAACTAATGAAATGATGAAGCTTGAAGACATGATGTTAAGTGAAATATGTAAGATACAAAAATGACACATTTTTTATGATCCCACTTATGAAGGACCCCAAAGAGGCAAATTCTTATGGACAGAAAGTCTAATAGAGATTACAAGAAGCTGTGGGAGGTGGGCATCAAGGAGTAATTATTGAATGCTTATAGAATTCCTGTCTGAGATGATAAAGAGTTTTGAAAATGGGTTGTGTGATGGTTGCACAGCATTGTAAATGTGCTCAAGGCCACTGAATTGTAAATATAAGAATAATTAAAATGGCAAATTTTATGTCTATTTTGCCACAATAAAAAATGTAAGGCCCATTTTAACATTTTTTATTTACCATATTATTTATTTATTTAAATATTATTATTTATTTTTATTCATAGGATTCAGAAACAAATCATTAATAGATTAAAATATCTCCTTCTCACAGAAGCCCAAAACAGCATTTCCAAATTTCTACAATGCTGCCTGACGTGCTGCTTCTGGTGTTTGGAAAAAATGGTAAAGTTTTTAAACAGAAATGCCTATATTATGGTAAGTAGGTTTCTTTTTTAAAATTTACTAAGCTACTGCTTACAAACCCAACCCCAGATCTATGCTGCTCCCTTTAAAGCACTTTTACATAATGCAGTTGAACTAATCGCCATGTTGATAAAAGGGTTTGTGAATCCAACCTGAGATGCAGGGCTGTGCTTCTGTAGTTGAGACAGGATCTTAATTATATAGTACTATTAGGGATATAGTTAACTTCAATATCTTTTTTGAGAGTGTAAGTACTGGAACTTAAAAGGGTGCTAGATTGAAAACCATTTTGTGGTCTTTGAAGGAGTAGGTGGAGAACTTTGTTGATGTTTCACTCTGAGAAGAAAATATGTTTCTAATTATGGGATTTACATAATTTGAAGAAAGGAGGGCCTCATGATTTTTTGTGAATCTTGTGTTAAAATGTGTAGGTATTTACAGTATTTGACTGAATTTGTTATGTATTTCTCATGGGAATATGACGACTTCTAAAGATATTTTTTAAGAGGGGATTCAGAAATTTAATCCTCTTAAATTTTAGAAGCTACTACCATATGACACTTGCTTATTATCACAGTGACAAAGGCGTCTGGAGAAGGGATTCAAATAGTCATGGAGCTTCAAATAATTGTTCATTTACCTCCAGTGAGTGTATTCTGTTGAGTCTTTTAATCAGCAAATCAAATACAGGGAAAGACATTGGATTTGAGCAATTTTTGATGTAAAGACTATAATATTTAGTCCATCCAAAACATTCCAAGGACAGTGGTCCTTATCTGAAACTTGATAAAAAGACGTGCATCTGTAGGAGGCAGTCTAACCCCTGGAGTTCAGGGTCTGGGGCAAGTGAAGGACATTATCATGTCAGGGACCCTGAGGACTCTGCAGAGTTGAGGAACACACAGTCCTCATGCCTCCCACAAACCCATATGTTGGAAGGAGGAGGGCATCAGTATGGATGACAGAAAAAATATCTGTTTTCCTATCATTGGATTGTCTGTTGGTGGTGTCAGAGTATGCTACTGACTCAAGAATAGTATCAATTGTCTTCCTCAGATTGCAATATACGGGAAAAACTTCTGCATATCAACAAGAGATGCTTTCAATCTGCTGATGAGAAACATTATAAAGTAAGTAATCAGGTTGAAACTTGCAACAGTTTGATGAACCTGAGCATTATATTCTTCATATGTTATTTATATCCTTCATATGTTATTTGAAGTATTGGTAGCCTTGTTAGGCAAGATTGTTACTTTGATAGATTTAAATCTCTCTCACATCACTAATTTCTTTTCATATCCTAGAATTGTTTTTCATCATCCACCTAGATTTTTATATACACTGGCACTTGTTCTTTTTTTTTAAAATTTAGTTGTAGGTGAACACAATATCTTTGTTTTATTTATTTATTTTTATGTGGTGCTGAGGATTGAACCTAGTGCCTCACACGTGCTAGGCAAGCCCTCTACCACTGAGTCACAATCCCAGCCCCTATTTGTTCATTTTTATTATCTCTTTTGCTTAAGAAATTCCCCAGATGAACCACATTGTCATCTTATCACTGACCATATCCTCTCCCAAAATTGATGGAGACTGAGTGAACAAAATTGGAGAACAAATACAGCATTTTCCGGATTCAGAGTGTCTATAACCTCAATGAGGGGGCGGGGAGAGAGTGAGGAGAGAGAGAGAGAGAGAGAGAGAGAGAGAGAGAGAGAGAGGGAGAGGAGAGGCTGACACCTCAGATTGCATGATACCCGACAGGCCTACAATGCCATCTTCTGTTTATTTCATTTAAAAATAAGTCAGAATTTTGTCTCTGGGTTCTACTTTTATTTCCTTTATTTAATGATTGTGGAATGAAATTTTAGCAAAGACATTAAAAAGAACTCATGAATTATTTACTCATAAATTTCAAGTAACAAGTGCATTTTAAACATAAAGTTATACTTTCTTTTTTTCTGATACTCAGAGTTGCAGTTACAGATGAAGTTACACACTTTATATTGTTCCTGGGAAAAATTCTAATTTCTGGGTTTATAGGTAAGTACTACTACTAAAAAATAATAAAAAGTTGAAAAGATGCTTTGGAAAATGCTCTGCTGCAAAAAGTTACCGCTTTTGTAAGTGCATAATATATGTGTTCTGCCTTTTAAATGTAGGTATCCTGGCCTTCTTGATCTTCACACAAAAAATACCAACGATTATACAAGGACCAACATCTTTAAATTACTACTGGGTACCATTGCTGGTAAGAACTGGTGTCTTAGTCAGCTGAGGTTGCTATAGGTACCATAAACTGGATGACTTAAACAATAGAAATTTATTCTTACTTGATTCCATTTCTGGAGGCCCTCTTCCTAGTACACAGATGGATACCTTACTGTTGGTTTATGTGGTGGGGAAAGAGAGAGAGGAAGAGAGAGAGAGAGAGAGATGTCTTTCATGTCACTTCTTATAAGGGCATTAATCCCTCTATAAAGGTACCACTCTTCTGAGCTAATTACCCACAAGACTCATCTTCCAATTCCATCACATCAGGGATTAGGGTTTCAACATGAGAATTGGGGTTGAGGGGAGCACAATTCAGTCGATAGCAGCTGATAGCAGCTGAGTATTGTTGAATCTGATTTATCAGAGATAGGGAATTTTTTTTTTTTTTAAAAAAAAGAGCAGTCAAAATGACAGCTAACATTATCGATCTAACTTTGTGCTAACCTCCATTCTGCTTTAGAGATGAAAACAACTGTTGAGACAAAGAAATTCATGTAGAAAGTTTTTTATTAGTTCTCTGCTAAGGTACATTTGTAAGAAAGCCAGGAGGGCAGGTCTGGGCAACAGAAAAAGCTGACCTCTGCTGCAGTCATAGCTGAGACCACAGACATAATTACAATTAAATTCTGGCAAAGGATCTGGGCCTTCATCAATCTCACCAGGCACCTGGCAGCCATGAACTGCCCTTAGGGGAGTGAAGTGGTTCCCTGTGGGCAGAGCAGTTCCTGGTCAGGAAATCTTCTGAATTATCCCAACATCTGGATAGATGATGAGGCAACTGGAAGATATCTGGGTGAAGTTTGGAGTCTCTGTTATAATGTATTACCTCACTCATCCCTATAGAATAAATGCTGTTGTTACCCACATTCTTGTCTTCTCTACTGCCAGTTTAATATAAGGGGCCCAGAGAGGTTAACTTGTTGAGCCCCTGAGCAGTGATTCAAACCCAGGGAGTATGTGCTTTTAATCCCTTTGCTTTACTGACTTGGTATGCTGTATCCTAAAACTGGGATATTTGGGATAGGCATTGGGACAGCAGAGAAAAGACAGATAGGCAATCTAGTACATTTTCTTTAAGTCACACAAAAGCATTATTAATATTTTTGGTCTCTACTTTGAAATCTAACAGAGTTACTTCAAAGCTTCTTTGCCATAACTTTCATTTTCACCTGCATTGTTGTTCTGGACAAAGTCAATGATATGCTGATTTTCTTCTCTATCCATTTCAGACTGTCATTTTTGGATCTTATCTAATTGCTAAGGGGTGCTTCAGCGTCTATTCAATGTGTGTTGAAACAATTTTTCTCTGCTTCTGTAAGTATTCAGTATGTGTATTTCCCCCCTTCCTGGATAACTGACAGGTGAGAAGGTGAGGACCCACATTTCTAGCTGATTTGTGGGTTTGTTATTACCCAGCTACAAGCACAAAGCAGTATTTATTTGGAAGGAGATATTGCTTAGTATATACTCTTTAAACCTTAACAGCTGGGAAATAACCCAGAGACAGAGAAACAAATACTACTTAATCTCATTTATATATAGAATCTAAGAATGCAAACTCAAGAAAGGAGAAGAATGCAGAGCAGGAACCAAGGGGTGAGGAACCCAAGGAAATTTTTTTTCAATGAGAACAAAATTGCAGTTGCAGGATAACAAGTTTGGAAATCTCATGTACACCATGGTCATCATAATTAAGAAAACTATATTATATACTTGGAATTGGCTAGGAGAAATCTCAAGCAACCTCACCAAACACACACAAAAAAGATAACTATGTGAGATGATGGATATGTTAATTAGCTTGATTTCCATAACCACACCACAATATGTATGTGTATCAGAACACTCCATGCCTTAAATATATACAATTTGTTATTTGTCAATCAAACCTCAATAAAGCTGGGGAAACTATACCTTAGTAAACTGTGGGGAAAATACAAAATCACCCACACTCACAAAAATAAAAATTAAAGAGAGAGAGAAAGAGAGTGAAACAAAACAGAACTTCAACAGTGGAGAGAACAGTTTACCAAGCACAAGAAAGTCATCTACTAAAATGAATGTTTTGGGTCATGGCTGGGTACTAGCATGAAATTAATTTTTCAGTTCTTAATATATTTTCAAACTCACAACAGTGATGGACTTCTGATGTGCTTTGTGAACAGAACTCAGGATGTAACTGAATTTTGTGCACTGGGTTTTGGGAATTCTTTGAGGAGATCACTTGTAAAGCCAAGATGGCAACAGTTTCAAAAATCCTACTGTCAACTCATACAATGTAACAGCATAACACATGGATATAGGGGAAGTGGTTGGATCCATTTAGAACCTTAAGAATTTCAATGCCTCTTTCACCACTGAGCCCCTGGATGGCATGTGCAATTCGCATACACAGAACAAATGCTTTATATTAGCACCTCAAATGCTTTATATTAGCACCTCATGTAAAATAATAACCCAGAAAACCTGGTGCCCATCAGGATTTTGATCTGGCTTTCACCTTCAGTGACATCTCTGTGGCAAACCTAGAGAAGGCAGGGTCAGCCAGTGAGATAACAGAATCCATTAGGCATACAGTTATATACCCGGAGAGATGATGTCTCTGACATGTTGCTCTTAAAAGAGCAGAGAAAACTTATTTTTGTACAGGGCATTACTGAGCAATCCATGTGTATAAAACTATCAGTATTTTTATAGAGTAACCTACAGCATCAATTTCACACTGGGATCATGAGAGGATATAATGATTATAAGGTAAAATATGTGAAGAAAAATCTCCTAGAAAATAATGACCTTTTTTTTTTCTTTCTGAACATGTTAAGAAGTAATTTAAATAACTGGACAAAGAAATCAGAGAATCTTTGTGTACCACTTAGCCTTTCCTCTGGCTGTAAATGGAACAGAAAAGTTTAATATTTTACTAGTATCTCTGTTTTTTGTATTGTTTTAAAAAAGAAAAGTCATATTTAGAAAACATGAGACAATTCCAGCTTTGTCATGGGATGGAAGAAGGCATATGGTCCTTAGGCTGTGCCTCAGCTATCATAGAGAAGGGGCTCTGTCATCTCAGATGCTCATCATAGGCACTATTTGGAGATCTATCTATGATCTTCTTTATTCTTGTAATTTAAAATTTATCTTAGGAAATGTCTAGAACCTACCAGTACTCAGTCTTTGAAAGCTTAGGCTAATAATGTTGATTTAAAATTTGTCAGTGTACTTTTAACTTAGGAAATTAAAACAACGTATTTTCCATCTATATTTATTAATAGATTCCCAACTTCTTGAAGATGAGTGTAATGTCAGTTTTATTCAATACAGTGTATGTTGACACAGTTTCTTTTTCAAAGACTATTGTCTCTGATAATAGAGAACAAGGGAAACTTGGTGGTATTCCTCTTCCCTCCCAGTTATTATGAGAGGCAGCATCATACTCTGGAGAGTTTCTTCTTAAGTGATACCCTCAGCCAAATTCTGGTTGTTTTGAATACTTTTTGTTTTTTATATATCTTTTCATATCCATTATGCTAGTTTCCAGAAAACTGATGCTTTTTAAAAAAAAATGCCAATCACTTGTAAACCCTTTACTAATGGAAACATAGCATCTTTGTAACATTACAAAGCACTGATAATAGTGTTGGGAAACAATAATAGTGGTAGATCATTATTCATGATCCAGATCAGGCTTGCTACCTCAAGGGTAAAAATGATACAGATATATAACATGTGATATTATATAGAAATAAGGTTAAGGACAAGAAAAACAACAACAACAACAACAGAAATGTGCATTGTCTATCATGTTCCTTCCTAGCTTTTTCATTTTGTGTGTAAGGAAGGTCACTGCGAGTTCTAATATAAAAATCCAGCTGTTCCCCAAAGAATCTAGATAATCTGTGCTGTGAATCATATATATTCACTGGAAACTTGGTCCCATGCAAATTTCTCCTAGCTGCTGATCATAGTTCTGAGGCTCCCCCCAGCCACCCAGTAGGTGGGTCAGTGACAGCGCCATCGTTTTCCTATTCGCTTGAGCAAGGGAAGAGGAAGGTAAATTCACATAGGAGAGAAGTCCGTGAACCCTGGCATTCGCCTTGAAATGTAATCTGAGGTCGACCACAAGGATTTAGGGGAGGGAGCTTTATAGTTCAGTAGGATGAGAGTTGGCCTAGACATCCAGAACCTGGCCCTCTCTTCCTCACTGCCTCCCAGATCACATTCAGCTATTTTACACCCCTGGGCCTCAGCTTGAAGAAGCTGCAACATCGGTATATGGACTACTATTAAAAGTGACTTTAAATTCTGAGATCCAACTATTATTCTACATTTATCACACAATTAATATAGTTCTTATTCAACTTCATCCCCAGGAATGTGGCACTTTGTAAGTTTCTAAAAGGAACAGTCATAGTATTTAAAGATAACCATTGACATGGATAGCCTTGTTAACTTTGAAACTATCTGAATAAATTTCTTTGGGGAGTGGAGAGGACTAGTGTGAAGGGCCAATGCTTCTGGGCAGAAGTGGGGGCCTCTCGCCTTGTCCAGCATCAGCGACTTAACTGTGTTAATCTCTCTTATATTTGACTAATTCTGATTTCTCTGATTTTTCCCTGTTCGATTCTCCAATTTATAAAAATGTGTATGATTGTTCTGCTGCTTGCTGCTTTTGCCTCGCTTTGGCTGCTGCATTCACAGGTGAAGATCTGGAAAGAAATGATGGATCTGCAGAAAAGCCCTACTTCATATCCCCTAACCTTCATGGGATTCTGATCAAGAAGCATCCAGCTCCCCAGAGGCAGAGTAGAAACTCTCCCAGCAGTGCCACCCACACTTAAGTTGAAGTTTTGTAAACTAGGCCAAGTGTAATTTGAAAATGTTGCTTTGGGGTAATGTGAAATTTCCGTGCTCTTTCTAAAAAGTCAGCACTTGGCACCATCTGAAGTGTCAGACTCTTGAGGACAGTGACCTCTGTGAAGTAGTCTACTTTATAGACTGTGGTCCTAGCCGAAGAGCAAAGTGTTAATGTCAATCATTTTTAAAAATCTATAGCAGAAAGTGTTTTAATAACTTTTATAATGGTGTGCTATTTCCATTACAGCACTTTGATAGCCTTTCTTTTTATAAGTGTATATTTGTAAAGGATATTCATGCAACTTTTGAAAGCACTATAAATGTGTAATTAGTTAGCCATAAAAATATTGTTTATAGTTAACCAGCATAAGGTACTAAATTTGTAAATATGGTGCTACGGTTTTTATTTATATTGTTCAAGCTGGTGGACAACTCTCCAAACTGTGATTAAGTGTGTATTAATGGTTCCTTAAAAAGTATATTTCGGTATGTGAGTCAAGTCCAGAACAATCATCTAGATGTTATTGTCACACAAGTTCTACAGAACATTACTGGGTGAAGGTAGTGAAGAACCTTCACAGTCCATTCTGTTTTAGTGAAATTATATTGAAGTCAAATCCGAGTTCTAGAATGTCATTTCCAATAATATGAGCCTCCAATAACCAGGAGAATATTCTGAACTGAAATTGCCACGTAACTCAGGCCTTTCGTCTCCAGCCAGAATTTCCTACTCCAACCATGTATAAAATTAATATGGATTTGCTTTAGACAAGTGATTTTTCTTGTCATGATAATACCTATATTTCTAGATTATAAGGATTATGTGGCTTTGTTCTACAAAAGGTTAAAATTTAGCTCAACCTTCAGTGAGGAAAGAGAAAAGATAAATAAGACACTTCAGTATTTACCCTAAGGAAATATGATACTGGTCCTCCATTAGGTACCTCATCTGGTACCTTTACAATGGACATGCTCCAGGTTAGGAAATCTCTTTCTCCAGGGCTTAAGAGAAGTGTTATTGTCACCCTCCACTGCGGCTGGTCAGAGCAAAAAGCCGGTTTCTGGTAAGCCATGCCTATGTCTTGCACAACAGAGCAAAGTATGATTCAGATGCTCATATACCTGCCTGCCCCTCCTTGTGCAAATGCATATGATGCGGCTAACAGTGTAAAAATGTAACCCAAGAGAATCACTGAACCAGTTGGCATCCTTTTGGCTTTTACACTAAGCTTTCCTACAAGGATTATCTAAATATTGGCTGAATGGAACACGTTGACCTGACATGTTGATTGGAACATGATCTGCATATCCAAGAAGAGAGTCATAAATGTATTGTTGTGTTACACATTACTATAAATACTAACTTACTTAATTACACTGAAGTGTAGGAAGCTAGATTTAGACTTATTATGGCAGCTTAATAGTATGTAGCCAATGAATAGAAAAGATTTTAAAAATATCCATCCTATGGACCAGCAACTTGTTCTTAGCTTTCTTTCTTAAGAGTATTGTAGTCAAAAGTCACCTGGCCTCACTTCTTGGCCAAAAAAAAAAAATCTTAATTTTCATTCTTCTTGAAGCATAATGCAAAAAAGAGTGATTGCTTATCTTTCTAGATTTTTACTATTACTTTGTTGTTCAATAATACAAGGGCCACAACAAAGAGCTAGTAAAACAGTAACCTCTATCAGTGAACTTGTTATAAATACAGATAGATGCCCTTGCCCTATCCAAGTGATTATGATATGTTGTGCTTGAACAAGGACCTTCAAATATATGAACTTCTCTAGTTGATCCCAACACACATAAAAGTTGGAAAAATCACTTGAATAAATTTAAGTCAACCTGTAAAAAACAGTTGCCTGTTTAACTGTATTATTGGCTTATTCCTAGTCAGAAAGATATTCTCTATTAGTTCTTTGTGTAACTGAAATGCTTAGAGTAAAAATGAGCATTTTTTTTTGAAAAGAAATTTAGAAGCCATTGTCTTACAGAACAAGTAAACTAATAACTGTAAAAACAGAGCAATATTTCTCAAAACCTTCATTTGAGGGATCTGAAAATACCGTTCACTAAAATTGTACAAATGTTATCTTTCAAAGCTGTACTGTCTATGTTGTTGGTGTCAAAACAACAATATCTTGAACCAATATGGTAATTTAGGAAGTAAATGGAGAAAAAGAAAGTAAAAGTTATTTCCTTGACCGTGCAACTGACAGACATTCCATATTGGCAAAATCTGACCTGTTAGACAGAATGAGCTAATATTTTGCTATCATGATAACAAGGGCTGATTGTTTTTTCATACCTATGTTTACAAAAACGTTGATTAACTGTTTTAAAAAAAGTGATATTGTGAATTGCTATAAAACAAGTATGCAGCAGATGGCGATGTTACTTCTCTTACAGTTTTTCTTTGATACTTAACTCTGTGCCATTCTTCCTCCTAGTGGACGACTTAGAACGAAATGAAGGTTCTAAAATAAGACCCTATTTCGTGAGTCAATCTCTGATGAAGATTTTGATGGAGAGCGATAAATAAGAACCAGTAGAAGAACGAACTGGTCATCCTGCTGCGTGTTATCTTCCCGAATCTGCTGTCTGCGCAACACTTGTTTCATAAGTGCTTTGTGTTTGGCGACACTGTATTCACAACCTTGTTGGCTTGCATTTGCATGTTTTATACCAAAGCTTATATTGTAATAATGTGAAGCCATCAGAAGTTGCAAGGGAATTGTTAATAACATGGAACATTTTTATACTAAGATCTTTTGTTTTGTAATTCATTTTTAAATAAGAGTGGCTTGGATGTTTTGAAAATACATCTACTGTGTTAATATTCTTTTAGATATTAGATTGAAAAAAGGGTACACTATTAAATTGATAGCTCCTAATATATTTTTAAGATGACAACTAAAAGACTTCTTCTGCAGGGAAAATTGGTAAACAAAGTGAAATAAACATTTTTAGGGCTTTCCCCACTCCTGTTTGACAGTAAACAAGTAAAAGGACCACCCACTCCAGTCTTTGCTGTCTTTAGTATAGAATGTTTCCTGTTAAGCAAATTGCCAATCATCCAGCCTTTACTACTTCGTCTGCTGACAAAGTGCCTTACTGGCTAATACTACCCAGCTTTTGTGGGCAAGTTTACAAACATTGTTTTTAAAAATTAAAATCTGCGATGTTTAGTGATTAAAACAAATCTTCTTGCATTTGTTTTCCTCTTGCTCACTGAATGGAACCCATCGGTCATTTCACCATGTTTGATAATCTCACTATTAGAGAGTTCCTTGTGTGGTGTAAACAATTTCCCTTGTGCCTAATGGACATTCATGAATGTGTACTATACACAAGGGAAAAAATGATATTGGGTTTGTTTTTTGCTTTTTTTAAAAAAAAAAGTTTAAAACTGTAATGTTTTCTATAGGATATCTTTGAAAATACCATAAGACTGTATTTCTCTGTGTTCTCTACACATTGGAAAGGGAAACTTCTAGCAATTACAAAGGGAAACTTTACCCATGAAAGGGTGCTTACAGACATCATGTACTGAAAAGGCTCCATTATAAATGATTGCTTATTCTCATCAAAACCTGTTTTATATGTGCCATTTCATTTTCTAACTTTTGATACAAAACAGTTTACTTACAAAATGTTAATTTTTATTGTGCCAATAGAAACAGAAACAGTTTTGAATTCAGTTTTAAATAACTTTACTAGCACTACTAACTTTAAAGAAGATTGATTCAGTGTTGTATTTGGTGTAAAAGCAAGGGTTCATAAAAGTATTCACCCTAAGGATATGTCAATCAGATAATGATAGTTTGTGAAAGATTTAGGAATCAATCAACAGTAAGTTACTAATGGTTTATCTATTATCACATTTATTTAGATGTGACTTTAGATACGTTTATGCCAAAAATAAACTGACATGAGAACATAACAGTCTGAGCTCTATAATCAGTGTGCTTCTGCAGTGCAGAAGTGTTAGGAACCCTTATTTGAACATATTTAATAACTAAAATGTTTAATACTTAATGGGATTTGTTGTTACTCATTGCTTTAAATATATTTGTTTTCTAATAGATATTTAGATTAAAAACTATCTGCCTTTTGTTTCTTTAATCTAGAAAGAGAGAAAAGCTTTTGTTTTTTTAAATCCTCCCATACTATAACATCATCTTCTCTGTACTAAGCATCTAGGGTTGTTAAAGAATATCTATATTTTTAAAATTTTCCCTTGGTAAATCAAGTAATTGAAACTAAAGATTTATCCAAGTTAATTATTCAAATATAAATGAGTTAAAAATGATGTTTTTAAAAAACCCAAACAATGGCCTAAACTAGTTAATTGATTTTTTATTTTAATTTGCCAAAGGTCTGCTCACTCCCTCATTTGGTTTTTCCAGCTTCATAAGAAGAAAATATCATTCCTAAGGCATGGATAAATTTAGAGACCCTAAAAATATGTGAAGAATAGTTCACGGTAGTTTTCTAAAACAAGATTAAATGAACCTAATACTGGTCTACCTTAAGCTAAAAGAGCATCTTTTTCTTTCTTTTTTTTTAAGTTGAATTATGTGTTAAATCTTCAAAATTAATTTTCTTTTAAAATTTAATGGATTTCTTTCAAAAGTAAAATAAAACGATGTTCTTGCCATTTTCAGTGTTCTTTTAAAATGTTAAATATAATAAGATGTTTATTAACACAGGTAACAATTTTCTCTTTATTTGATGTTAAAAATATAGTTTGGTTTCTAGGAGAAATCCAAATTGTGCTTTAGATCTTATTACCTCTTACTTTGGGCTGATAAAGCACTGATATTTGCAAATAAATTGTATGTAATTGGACTATAATTGATTTGGTTTTTCTATATGCCAAAAACAAACAAAAGTTTAAAAAGTTTATGTATCCATATAATAAAATCACACATTGAAGGGTTCTATGAGATCTTCAGGATGATGTATTATTTAAACTGATATTGAAAAATGGGTTCAGTGCACCAATTCCTTATTTTCCTTTTAATATATAGCCAACCAGTACTCATTCCAATGTATGTTCTTTCACTTTTACAAGTGGTGCCTCAGGAAATTGCTCTTAAACTCTAACCAGGCATAGTAATTATCTCCAGTATTATCTGGTTCTGGGTAGGGGAACATGCTTTATAAATCAGTCTTTCTTGGCATAAGACATGGGGACAAAATTGAACTAAAAATCATTATTACAGACCACAGTGTATAAAATGGTATCTTAACGTTTTTTCCAGTTTCTTGCAGATATTATCATTAGATGTTTGCAACTGTTTGTGTTTCTAAAATATAGCTATACAAGAATGTCATTCAATAAATCATAAGTAAAAAAAAATCAAAATAGAAGAATGCATGCTCTATTGAAATCAACAGTTTTCTATCTCATAAGCATATTTAATAACTAAAATTATCTGGGTCTGAAAAATAAACAGAATTATATTTGATAAATACATATCAGAAACAAGTTACTTCTTCAAAGTTACTTCCCATCTAGCATGTTTTCAGTCTTGAAAATATAGGTAGTGAGGACTTTTCTCTCAGGCTTTAGCTGAGTTCCTTAGTGAATCTATCATCAATCAGAAAACAAAACCAATCCCATTAAAACAAATGTGAATTCATTTGTTAATGGCTACTGAGTGCCACTTTATACCACATCAGGAAGATGTCACAGTCATGGACCCACTTAAAATTTACCAGAACAAACTGATCCCCTCCCACCCCCATTGACAACTTTCCAATTGCTCAGAATAAAAGGTCATCATCGTACAGTTCAGAATTTGGAAGTATCTTCTGTAATAGTTTCTGTGTTGTCAAACGAGGACTGTTATGTGACATGTTTAAGGGTAATCAGATTTTATTATTTGAAGTTGCTGATTTTTTTTCTTTAAATTTAACTCCCTTGGTCCCCCACCCACCCTCATTCCTATATCTACTGTATGAATCAGAATATTTTAAAGCCAGGGGGAATTGTGAATGCAAGTCAAATGCCCTTCTACTGCTGGTTCAAAAATATGGTACATCCTCATCTTCCAGCCCTTTGTTTTTAAAAAGCACAATGTGTTAACAAGGCTAGGAGAGGCTTATCAATAGACAAAGATGTTCATATTCTTTACATAAACTAACATAGAGTCCAAACTTGATTCATTGTTAGAATAATCCAGGAATCTCCATATTCCTCTACCCAGATAAATGTGCCCTGCTTCATGACTATTTGCACAGAAAATTAAAAGTAAGATAAGAGATTGGGAAAAGCATTGGTATCCAAAGAGAGAGCTCCCAAAGGACACATAAAGAAGTCTTTTATGGAATTCAAGAGGGTAATGTTACAGGAAGAGGGTGCCTTCTAACTGGAATTAATGATTCTATTGAAAAGGAACTCAGCAAATTGGAAGCCAGTAATTATACAAAAATATTTCCCAGTATATTTCAGCATGAAGCAGACAATAAACTAATCACATAGATATGTTTAGTCCAAGCAAATAAAGAATAATGTCCCAATATGATGTCTGATTAAGGAATTTTTTTAAAAGTCTGCCTCTCTATGTAGAGCAGGTGGTCCAACACCTTGCTCTCAGATGAGCTGGTGTGTTCTCTCTTTCCTGTCCACACCAGGATGAATTCTCGGACTTTCTTACTCCTTTCCCTCCAATTTGGTCTCTTTGTCTCATTTCCTTTGCTTATAACAAATTGAAGGACTTTTGAAAGTTCCTCAGAAGGAAACAGAAGTGGAAGAGGAAAAGGAAGAATGAAAATGGTGATTCAGCCAGCTGCTTGGGCTAAGCTATGGAGTGGCAGGTCCTCAGTATGAGTTCTGAATGATTCTAGGGCGTTGGGAAATGCATGTGTGACTGAGCCAGGTCATAGAGCGTAATGGGCAATGGCTGTTAGCATGGACTTTAGAGCTAGACCAAGCGAACTTCAAAACCATCCTGTTACTATGTGACCTCGTTTGTGACCACGGGCAAGTGTTCAACTTTTCAGAGACTCATGGAGACCCGATGCTGGGAGCCTTTCATGGAGACATTCTCTTACCCAAGGACTTTCAGAACCCTTGATGCTTTGACTTGACCATGGCCCTTCCAGTGGGCAGCTGATTGAGGCCTCTCTGAAAAGCTAGAGAAGGGCATCACAATAGGGGAAACCTCTTTCCACCATCACCCCTGCACTCCAGTCAGATAAATGAGAAGGATGTGAGTGACTCTTTCCCCCAGAGCTTCATTCCAAATCCCACATGAGAGTTCTTTAACATAGCTTGAATTCTTGGGTCACTAGTGACAGACCTCTTAGAGTAGACAACAGGAATTTCACTGACCTCAGCTCCTAACATGCCTCCTCACAATGACCTTTTTTATTTTAAATTCTGGCATTAAGCCAGGATATGAAGCCAGAGAATAGGATGGCATTTTTACAAAGCCTTAACCTTTACTTGTTCTCTAATGCTGAAACCTGAAGAGCATTTAAATTTAATGTTGCAAAACTGAATGAATGTAGCCTTCAAAATTGAGGCTTTAGATCTGCACTTTATATGTCTGGCGTTTTTTTTTTTTTTTTTCTCTGCAGACCCTGCTCTATGAATTTGTGCAAGTCAATGCAAAGACTTACTTTCTTCTGGCTTTCTACTTTGGGTGGCCAGGCAGGAAGCCCCTGATGAACAACACGCTTCCAATATATTTTGATTTCTGACTGCAGGCCTCATTGCTGGGACTCCATTTTCTTTAGACAGTACAAGGTGGCCTTACCCGTCCCCAAATCAGCAAAGATAAGACCTTATTCTTTTTCTTTCCATGGGTCTTTAAGTAGCTTTAGGTGACCATAAGAGAGAAAGAAAAGGAGAGAACAGAAGTCATTTTATGTTAGGCTATTTATATAACAATTGTATTTATTTCAACTCACCATGTAAAAACTGATTAACAGACAAATTACTATTTATAACATGATACTTGAATATCATTGTGTTTTTTGAAGGCAGAATCACATTCAAACCTTAAATCCTATGAAAAGGGCAAGTTAAAGATTTTTGGAAATCTACAATTCTTTTTTTCATATGGTTTGCTCAGAGCATCAGAGTATTTTTAGAATGCTAATTTTAGCATTTATGGGATAGAAATAATACCTGAGTACAAAGTACATTTCCCAGCTCATACAAAAAAAGTAGATATCAAGATAAAGAAACAAAAATTCTAATACAAAAAAATATAGAAATATTAACAAATATATTTTTTCCTAAGTTATTATTTTAAAATTAAATCATTTTATGAATTTTTAAATTTAACCTTTTTTTAAAAAGCAGAGTTGTTTAAATTTGCCTCCTATTAAACTTGAAAGAATATTATTTAAGTTTGCTTCTCACATAATTTTTTTGTCTGTATTGCCACTTTTGCATATGAAAGTCTTGGGTATATAAATTGCTCTTGACTTGGTCTTATCAAATGTGAGCCATGATAAAATAGTCACTCTCAAATTTGTCCTTAATGGATCATAAAAGTAGAAAATAAATCATGTGTAGGGAGAACCCTTGATGGGCCTTGATTGCCTCAGAGCAATATGCCTGCAGTGTGTGCCTGTACATGTGTAAGATGAACAAATGTGTGTGAGGATGTGTATGGTATACGGGAACAGTATTCAGTAGAGTACACGAGTCCCTCTCATCTGTAACGGCTGTCTCAGAAATTCATAAACGATTTCTATCTCACTAAGAAGCTTAGCCAAATACCAAAATTATCTTAACATTAAGAACAGATGGGCTGGCAGTATCTCCGTGGTAGAGGGCTTTGCCTAGCATATGTGAGGCTCTGGGTTCAATCCCCAGCATGGGAAAAAAAAATCCAGAAATAAGAGCTGATCTAAAATGCTTCCCCCTACCAGCTCCGCTATATTTCCTAAACCACCAAACACTCTTCTCTGGTTTATAAAATGGTGGTATTGGAGGGAAAAAAAAACTCTACTGATATAATCTTCAGAGGGAAGATTCACTATTAAGGCAGTGCAAGCTATTTGGTGGTCATTTGTTCCCTAGTCAGCTTTTAGCTGAATTCACTTGAAAGAGTGCCATGTGTATTTTAGTCAAGCTCCAGGGAATTGTAATTTTTGCCAATACCACCCAATCAGCACCAAAGAATCAGCTCCTTGCTCCAGGCTGAGCTTTCATCACACTGAACTGCTCTAAGAACTTTTTTTTCCACCTGAGATCGATAAGACACAAGGCATCCTTTTCAAAGCAAAGACCCCAGATAACTGGCCTTAAATCCTTTGAGTCCTACCACCGCCTTCAGCATGGGCTGTTTCACAAAGACAGCATTAGTGAATACTGGGTCAATGAATAAAAAGTGGGAGGTAGGCCCCAAAAATCTCAGACACAAGGCATTCTTTTCAAAGAAAAGACCCTATATAACTGTCAGTGGTACAAGACCCAGATGCAAATGCATGCTGATCTCCTGCCTCCAGATTTAAAGGGGGAAAAAAATCCAAGTTGATAGTTATTAAACTCTTCCTGGATATCAGGGAATGGGCAGGATTTGAAAGTTTCTTTTGTTCCTATCCACTGCCTTTGCTTTAGAGCGATCATTACAAGTGCTCAGTTGCTGATTTAAAAGTTCTCACAAAGTGTAAGTTCCATGAGGGCACAGACTATCTTGTTCTCTGCTCTGTTACACTGTAGGTGCTCATTAAATGTTTCTTTAACAAATGAATTATGATGGGGGGAGATAGGACTTGCATTGTCTTTGGAAGGATGATGAAGGAGATAGGACTTGCATTGTCTTTGGAAGGATATTGCAGGTAGGTAATAAGATATTGCAAAAAGAAAGACATTAAAGGTATCAGAAAGG